GTTTTGAACTTGATGTTAGATTACATTTCCCTGTTATTTATTTATAGTGATGTATTAAGAGGAAATATTTTGATCTTTCAGCTGTCCTGTCATGTTTTATTAACAGCAGGATTATGGCTTGCAATGAGAAAGAATGAGATGCTCAGATGTGACAAGTGATAACTATTCAGAGGCTGCCACACTAAGATCAATGATGTGATTCTATCTCTGGTAATTTCAAAAGATGTAGTAGACAAGCTTCCATTAATTTTTTTCTTTTTAAATATTGCTTAGAAACACTTGGGAGAAAATTTGCATGGAAATTCAACAACCTATAAAATTTAAGTGCCTAATTTATTTTACAAAGTGCAGTTTAAGCACTCATGTTTAGATGATATTTTGTCTCTTATCTAAGAAATATGACCTGGAAGTCTTTTTTATAGAGACTCCCAGATAGATATATAATTTCAGAAAACTAGCACAGCAAACTCAGCAACAAGAGTGGATTAACTGCTGCAAAATTCATATTTAAATCAGAAAATCAGCACAATATATCCACTTATTTCACAACTGCATAAATTCCTGTTATAAAGCAAAACAAGATGGACTCAGTAATACTTTGAAAGAAAGGCAATTATCACTTCTACTTTAAAGCACATTTTAACACCATTCAGCTCAGAGTAGGGACCCCTGTTTCTACACAAAACAGTGCATTGACAAAGGCAATTATGCTGCTTTTTCTGGATAGCTCCAAGTCCTTTGGCACAGCAGTATTTTAGACTTACCAGCTCTTGGTAACAATATACCCAGTCAATTTGGATTTAGTCTGAATGCAGAAATCTCCCCCTTTTGCCTGTTGGACACAGGAGCTTTTTGCTGCCAGTGTTTCCCAGTTGCTATGGAGGTTGCCACAGCTGATACTCCCAGGAGTGGACATGCTGGCCTTAGTGGTTAAAACCCAGCAGAACACGAGAGGACTTCATTTGACTGGCACACATTTGCTCAATTTTCAACTCCCCATGGAGTCCACTGCACTGCAGGGGCAGGGAAGGCATTTTAAGAGAGCTCAGCATCCTCTAGGCTTCTGCCTATGATTGCAGGGCAAAAAAAACAGCATCAAAGTTACAGTTCAGATTCAGGAAAATTTTTAAAAGCTTACCACCACAGGGTGTGACAAATAAATAGGTTTGAAATGTGCACAGAAAGGTTGAAGCTGACACAAATCAAGGTCAAATCACTTTACAACTTTCTCCTTTCACAGTAAGGTGGAATTCATTAATCCTTCCCCCTTTCTCTTACAAAGTGCCTATCAAAAATATGTCATATTATAATGCAGAAAACTACTTGCTTGATCTCTGCTGAGATCTCTAATTTTCAAATCTTCCTTAAAAGAAATACTAAGAGTCGACATTTGTTGATTTTTTGTTTGGTTGGTTTTGTTCGTGGTTTTTTGGGGGGGAGGAGGTGCTTGGAATACTTAACCTTTTTTTAGGCATTTCAATTTACTGCTATAAAAACAACATAACAGGGTGGGATAATTGCAGTAAGGGAGAAGGATACATCACTTGGGAAGTCTGTAACCATTTTTTGTACATTTGCTACAAGCTCTCATGCTGTCAGCAGAATTATTTAGTATCAATCATTCCCTTACCTAGAGGAAATGTTAAGATACTTTATTGCTTATGAGCTAAACTCTCCTCCTCAACTTCACCGAGTTCTATTTTATAACCATCAGCAGAACAAAGGAGCAGACAGGGAGGTTGGGGAAGACCACTCCAGACCTCAACCATTATCAGTCAAAGTCCCAAAAAACTTCTACTGCAGGATTATTTTTACACTGATGGCCAAAACCTTGCCAGCCCTCTTTATACTGTGCATTATGCAAGCAGTCCTAGTCATTTCTAAGGCACTGACATCTGTACAAGAATCCAATTTTCAATGGAAATTATGCAATGTCAAAAGTTTTCAAGGTGATTAAAATATTCACTAATAAGAAAATGATGCAACAGTACTCACAAAACTTTATGCTCTTCCTGTGTTCAGTAACTGTGCTTCAGAGAGCTCCTACCCTACTCTATTTTTCTCCATTTTAAACTGAATTATCCTTTCTTTTGGCATCTAACAACATTCCTTGGAACCTTTAAAGAGGCATTTTAAGAGAAACACTGGCAATTAGGCTGAATATTTTAAGAAAGTGCGTGTGAGATTAAACCAATAACAGAAAATGAGAAGAACATCAGTCACATAAGTAGAAAGATTTTATTTTAAAGCATGCAGGTTGTGATGATACATCCAGTTACTTCACACATATAGGTGTTACATGTTTATCTTGGTGACAAATTTAGAAATGCCTTCTGATTTTCATGAATTTACTTAGGTCATTGAGCTGAGATTTTCCCAGTTGTCTCTCTCATTTCCAAGTGCAGTTACTATCTGCAACGTTAAAGCTCTTGTGTGGGCTGACAGTGACGTGTGCCACGATCTGCTCCTAACAAGTGCCAGGAACACACACGTCATCAACACCGTGGTTACTACAGTCCCAGACAGGAGACCTTTGGAACGCTTTAGATCTTCTTCAAGAGCTGGGTTTGTTTGTTAGTGGCTCTAGGTGCTTGGTTTGGCTCTGTGACACCTTTTCCTGCCACTACAGAGTCAGTGCACAGCACAGACTGTAGGTACCTAATGTATTTTATAGCAGCACGGAGGGTCTCCACTTTGCTGAGCCGTTTCTCCAAGTATTCCTTGGGCAGGTGGTGCCTCAGCTTGGCATAGCCTTCATTGACACATTTAACACGCTGCCTCTCCCTCTCATTCCTCTTCCTGATGAAAGCTGACCCACAGGAGTACTCACTTTTGTGGAGACTGGAATGGGGCATTTGGTAGGGAAAGGGGCAGGGCTCACTGTAGAAGGTCTCTGTGATGAGATGCTCTGACATGAAAGGAAGGAATGACAAATCTTCGGACAAAGGGACCTGGTTTGGTGCTTCTGGGTACACGTGAAACGTCACCAGTGGGTCTGCACAGAAAGGCCTTGCCAGCTGTATGTGCTGAGCCTCAGCACAGATGAGGTTACAGTAGCTTTTGCCATCCATCAGGTTCTGCATTTAGCCTGGAAACACATAATTACAGAATGCTTTCAACAAGTCACACTGAAGAGTATAAAAAACTCACCTGGACTTACCAATACTTGGTCTTGCTGACATTTTCCAGAAGAGGTTTTTTTTAATGCATTTGTGACATCTCAGAATGATGTTGGAAGATCAGGTACAAGACAACATCCCATTTGCAAAGTCCAAGAAAGTGCAAGTCAATCACACTGATCAAATTAATACACAACAGATATTAATATAAAGCCACTAAAGTTGCCTAAAGGAAAGAGCAAGCAGTCTCCTTTCACCTCAGTTTTGGAAATTAAGAGACTCTACCTATATGTATTCCACATAGGTCTAGTTTGCTCCAAATCCACCAAAACTTACGTGTCTACAGACAACAAATAAAGCAGGCCAATATCTGAGGCATTCCCACCATCCCCTTCCCCTCCCTGAAAAACCTAAATCTACAATTCCAGTAAAAGACTCCCTATTCATACCAAAGAGCCTTCAAAAACAAATTATTTTTCTCTCTAGTCACTTGGTGTCACATTCAATATGTCATCTTAACAAAACAGAAAACTTGTGCAGAGAATGGATCTCAATCTTAATTCCATGTCTGTCAGGTTACATCCCCTCATACAAAGATTTTCAAGAAGTTTAGAGAGATGAGAGAATTTCTACTACATCTAACATCTCCTTGGGTCCTCACATTCCTTCTCCACTCACCTGCAGACTAAACATAGACATAAAATACTAGAAACAATCCTACTGCTAGAGGGTTATGAAAGAAACAATTTATTAAAGGAAAAACCCATCTCCTAGTAATACAAAGAAGGGATGGCACACAGTTGTTGGAGCCCTGCTGGAAACCTGTAAGTCAGATTTGGCCTGCCCTCATACCCTCTCTTCAGAGCAGCGTTACAGCAGGTGTAACTACTCAAATCCCCTGAAATGTTTATTACAAAGATACTCTTGCAGTGGTTTATAAGAAGCTGCATTATAATGCCTTCCCAGTATCATTATTCAAACAGTTAAATATCAGCCTAAGTGCTGAGAATGTAATGACTGTTACCTAATAGCTTCTTTAAATACATTGAAATAACCAGTTAATTTTCAAAGAAACACTGTGAGCCACCCTCACAGATTGCAACCAATACTTGCCTGCATAGAATTGATCCAAAAATGCTCTCACCATCCACTTGTACATCCATACATTGCTGCCTAAAGCACTTAGGTTCTACTGCATCCTCTAAAATGGAAACCATACCTGAACATTAAACTAGGTTACCAGAAACTGCTGGATTCCATACTCACAGAAATCTGGTAAAGCTTCAAGTGTTCCAATCACAGTACCATAACACAAATCCCTCACAAGGATAATGTAATGTTTTCTAATGATCTGCCACATTTATACAGAGAATATTTACTTGTTAATGACCTGTTCTCACAACATATTCTATGAAAATGCAGAGTTCTCTCTTTTCCTAATGCACGTAGATTGCACAACAGAAATCCTGTGAGTGAAGAATTCATTTACAGCTGTTAAGCATGAGTGGGAGTCCCATGCATCTTAAACAGGTATTTCTGTATTTCTGTAGGTAGGCTAAAAGCATGAACACGCATCCATTTCACATTAATATCCATGCAAAAAATTCAGAGGTGAATATACACTCCTCCTAAACTGAAAATAGTAGACACTCAACTTTCCCTTTTCTACTTTTACAAGTTGGGTTATTGTCTAAAAACTTGCTGCTGCTAACAACTTAAAAACACTGAGGAAGTCTGCTACATAGCAAAAAAGAAAATTACAGCACAACATCACTCCAGAGCAAGAACCCAAAACCAACACAACTCTTCAAGAAGAGATCTAACACTTCTGCTGTGCAACAGTATTATATAAAACAGTTACCTGCTGCCTCAACACCTGCACAAAGTGCAAAATACAAGTGTTAGGAACATTTTCCTGCTAGACTAGAGACTCACCAATCTTCAGATGAAAGTAAAATCCAGGGAAACAAGACGTGCTGTCGTAAGAGTGATGAATACCTGAAAAATATCTGAATGATATTAAAAAAAAGAAAAAAAAAAGAAGTTACTATTCCATTTTTCTTACTCCTTATTAAATAAGAGATCACATTATAGAGGATTCATTAAAAAGCTATGAAAACACTGTCAGTAAATGGCTGGTAGAAGTGATTTACAAGAACATTGATATTCAGTGAAGATCTGTGGCTAGATACAGCAACATGCAAGTCTCTTACCTGAATTATGTATCTTGTTCCACTGAGGCAATGACTGCTGCAATTTATAGTCAATTGACAACATGCAAAGTAGCTTACAGTTAGATCTGCTCATTTCTGGTTGGGCTTTTCCACCCACACCACAGCTATGATGGCAACAAAACTTGGCATTAAGGGCTAGAAATTTTGAAACTGCTATTGAACACATCCAGACTACCTGAAAAAGTAATCAGGAATGTGGTTTGTACACTTCCTGTTTGCCTTCTGTTGCAAACTACTACAGTATAGTAATGAAAATCCAAAGCAGTATTTTCATTTATTGGCATTTTGTACTCTAATGTCTAAATGTAACAATTGGCCAGAATTAAGGTAAATATTCACCATCAAAGCATAAGCAAACTAATTTCCACAGCTTCATTTTAAACGCAGAAAACAGCAGTAATTTAGAAATTTGTGATGGATTTCTCTCCACTACAGCTGAGGACACATAGTCAGCTTAATGCCTTTTAATTTAATAATTTTACCTGTAATTTTGGGGAATTCTTTTAGTGTTCAGTGTAACATCATATAGAAGGTGAACATACATAAGAAGATTTGAAAACTGTTTTCAAACAGTAGCAACACAGGTTTTGCTTAAAAAGAAAAGCATTATGGAATCTATAATGCAATGTATACATGTACATAGATGTTACATACCTCAGTATATAGCTGTCCAATTGTACAGGTGTAAGAAAATAGGACACCTATCCTCAAAATTCCCATTTTACAGGGTTGACACTTAAAGACTATCTCATGGTTTGGCCTTTCTAGCTATCAAAGTATAAACATGCGAAAAAAATCCAAACCCAACCAGTTTAGCTTAAAACTGTAAGATCAGAAATACTTTTACTAGCAAAAGATGTACATACATTCACTCCTGCTTCTTGGGACTGTGATCCATGAAGGGAAGAAAGCTTCACCTTTTGCTGCCCCTGTGTGGACCACAGTGCTGTATCCAACACCCCCTTCCCACATCAGGGTCAGGCCTCGTGGGAGAGGCAGCCACAACACAGAACAACTCCCAGGACTGGCAGACAGGGAAACACTCAACAATCAAGGCATGCATTCCACAACCAGGTTGCATTCCTTTTCTTTAGTGGCCCTAAGTACAGCAGTGTCATAACCACAGTACCAATTCATCAGGGCAATATTGAACACAAAAACTGAACCCGAGCCTGAATTTATTTTTCTTGACCTGTCAATCTTTGTGCAATTTTTTTTTTTATTTAAAGCTAGAATCCTGTGAATCCACCAGTTCATCACCAGCTTTAAGTGACTCCAGGTTAACTCAGTTTTGCAAGTCTACAGAACTGATGTGAAAATGAAGCTCTGCATCTGTCTTTCCCCCAGGCATGGACTAAGCAAGCCAAAACTGCTTCCAGAAACAGAGTATTCTTCTATGTACCACCTCCTTCCACACCAGAACTGAAAACTGTCACACAATAATGCAACTACATATGCACAGCTACATCTGAGTCATGGATTAAAAACTTCTTTTAATTAACAATTTGATGAGCCTTTCTTTACCTAATCAGAGAACCAGTGCATATTTCTACTCTGAAGCGTTTTCAGAGGAGTACTTTTATAGATGGAATTTACATGCAGCATAACGAGGGAGAAAAATGATGACAAACTGATAATGCAGATCCATTTTTCAAAAATCAGTTTTATCTTTAATTGTTACATTCCAAAGGGGATATATGAAAGTTAGTCATCTAGCAACTGTATAACCTCTGAAGAGAGATGAGTACAGAGTCACAGATAAAAAAATACACCTAACTCCCAAGATGACAGGTGCTAGAGAAAGTATGTGCCTTACATCATCAATCCAGACAAATGCAGGAAGATTTTTATAATAAATATTTCATCATATACTAACTCCTGAGACTTTACCCATGAAAAGAAAGGGAAAAAAAATTTAAAAGCTATCATACAACTACAATATATTAAGCTAGTAAAGCAAAATAGAACAAAATGTCAACACTGTCTTGAATGTACACTGCATTTGAATTTATCTACATCACAGTACTTGAAATATGCAGCTCCAGGAGTCAGTGTCCACTTATGTTTTGCCTTAAATCTGCAGACATCACTTGCCATACAAGCATCTTGGAAGTAGGAGTGCAAGAAACCAAATGATGAACACAGCCAGCAGGGTTTCATTCTCTGAGACCAAAACTACACTGCAAGACTTTGATTTCCAGTACCTAGCATCAATCAGCAGAAAATCCAAATATATTTACAAAAGGTCTTTACATAAAGTGATTAGTGAGTTGTAAGTAATTACTGTGTTCCCAGGTACTTTTTAACCACATAAATAATTGAGAGAAATATATAGTTAAAAACCACCATAAAGTCACAACTGTAAATAATGTACCACAGTGGCAACCCAAGGTATCTTAGGGTTTGTTTTCTTTTCAGTTTTGTTAGTAAAAGCCATCTGAAAACATAAAGATTTAAGCTTTTGGTTAACTAATCTGTTTAAACCGCTCCCACTCCAGTACATTCCTTCAAAAAGTTCAAACACTTCTTTAATTTGTTTGCTTATCAAATCAATAACAAATCATTCAAGAAAACTTCTGAATTGGCAGGATTAGGAAGACTTCTTTTCAGCTCTTTCCACTAGTCCACATGCCCGGAGTTCCTTCCCTGAGCCCCACTTAGCTGAGCACGACGTGCCGGTCGAAGACGGATTTGCGCTGCTCCTGCACCTGCAGCTTCCAGCGCTGCTGCGCGTACTCCACCTTGTTCAGCACGTTGGCTCGGCTCCGGGAGCGGGCCAGCACGTCGTGGGCGTTGGCAAAAGGCTGGTGGTCCTGGAATGGCAAAAAAATTAAAAAAACCCCACGGTCACACCTCAGAATTCCAGCTATGAGTCTTGTGTGTTGTAACGTTCCCCGCGGGATGGGCGGGGTTGGTTTGGTTTTGTCTTTTTTTTTTTAAGGTTGCAGCAAGATGGTCAGTAAGGATTATCAAGCAAGTTTTTGAATTGTTGGAACTGTGTGGCTGTCAGGTCCAGAAAAAACCTCTTGTGAGGATTTTTCCAGTCCAACTTTCTCAGGCTCAGCTAGGGTTTTTTCCCAAACTAGCCACTTTTCTCTAATGTAAACCTAAGAGAAGAATTAAAAACAATGATAAACATCTGCTGGATACGTGAGAAAAACCTGGCAAAGAGGTGTTACTTTGTCTGGACCAGTAAGCTCGTGCTTTGTCTTGACTTAGTGTCCTAAGTGCATTTAAGGAGTGTAGTGTTAGAATAAATTGTTTCCTTCCTATCCTGAGGGATGACCATGCTGCTGTGCCTTATTACCGCCATTCAAAGGGTTAATCCTCTAACATACAGCCACAGAACTGCACTTCACATTCCCAGGAACTTCCACAGATTTCCCAAACAGAGCAGACTTCATTGCACTGTCAATTCCTGCTGCCCAGAGACACAGGGTGAGCTGCAGGCTCAGACCAGTCTTGCATCCTTTTGCAGCCCAGAGCAGACCCAGGCAGCCCCATGGCTGTGGTGAATGCACTCCACAACTGAGTTAGGGCCAGTTCCCTGCCAGCTCCTGCCCATTTCCTGCCAGGCAGCTCAGGATGTTCATACACAGCTTCTATATCAAACCAACACACTCTGGTGTTGACCAAACTAAGCCTATTGTGCTGAGCTGTCTGAAAGCACAGTGTCAATACAGCTGTAAAAGTGACAGAGCTCAACAAGAACAAAGTGCTTGTTTAACGTTTACTCTCTGTTTTCTAACAGTACCTGCAAGCCTTTATTTTCTGCTAGCAAATATAGCCAACTTATAAACACTAAGAGTTGGAACTGTACTTCTTATTTGGCTATTAAACTGTTTGGACAAAAAGTCATGCTGCTAAAGCTACCTTAGCAAACATCAGATATACAATGCATCATGAAAAATAACATCATTATGTCCTATATTAAATAACTGTCTTTTTGTATGCCTGCATTTCACATTATTTTTTTTCCAGAACGCTTTTTTAGTTCATTCAATGGATATTTTATTTGTGATATGACTGTGCAGAGCAGCTCAATGTCAGCTGTACACAGATTATCATAAATTATACCTGTTGAAATGATTGCTGTAAGCCACAATGAGCATTTAAAAAATATGCTCACAGAGAGCAACAGACAATCCCTCATCAAAAAAGCTATCATCTCATCATAAAAAGTTATACAATTGGATATACCTAGAATGGGCATTTAACAGGAGACAGCTCACTTCATTCACAGGGAAAAAAAAAAAAAAATCACAAGAGCAACACATGGTTTGCTACTGTAAAACAAATAGGGGGAGAACACAGGGCAGTCTAGATGGTACTGGCCTTCCTGACAAACACGAATCTCAGCTCCAAGGCTAGATACTGTCAATTTCTACATAGACAATAAGAGGAAAAAAGAATTTAAGAAGGAAGAGGACTAAGGAAAGGGCTTACATTCATCAGTTGCCACTGTGACCAATGGGCAAGAAGAAAGAGTGAACACACTGCCTTGAAATTCAGCCACAAAATGCACAGACATGGCATTTTTGAAGTGTGACAAGAATGTCTCAAGAAGTTGCAAGAGGGAAGGCAAGAATGGGGATAATTCATAAGGGACCTTAAATTATGTTATGTTCACAGAACAGCCACAGCAAAACATAACATTGGTTAAGTTGGATCCAGACTTTGAGGTAAATTCATTCCACAGTTAACCTGAACTCTGCCATGAGAATTTTTTCACTTCTTCTACCTATAATCAAAAGGCTAACTCACACTTGGAGGCATCAAGATAATTTATCTAAGATATAAATTAGAAATTTGTCTGAGGTATAGCATACAGCACAAGCTCACTTAATTCATGTAGGAGCTGCCCAACTTGTTACAAGAATGCAGACAGAGGAAGAGTCATTCAAATACTTAATTTCAAAACAACAAAAAAAATCTCAAAAACTAACAAACTCTCAATCCAAAATCCTCTTAGAGGTAACTGGGAAAAAATTATGTTGTCAATACAAAGACAGTTGAAACGTGCACATGTAATACACAGGGAAGTTCAGGAACAGTGGGACAATTATCAGCCATCTTCACTTAAAAAGGTGTTTCTGTTTGCTAGGGGGATAATTAAGTATTCAAAATTAAGCATTTTCCTAGATAATAGTTTTTCTCAGCTATGCTTTATGTACCTTAATTTCACAACAAAAGTCTGGGATTGTAACCCAGTGCTAGAGATTGGAAAGGCCAGTAATGACAGGAAACCATGTCACTACTGGACTACTCTCCTTCTTCCCCAAAAAACAAAGCTCTTCTGACCTGTTGGAATATACTGTCACATTTTGATTTCTGGCTGTAATACTAAGAAATTC